TTTATTTATTTTTTGAGTTAAATGACGAATGCAATACTTAAGTTTAATCTGATTGAGTCTTAAAAAATATTCATAAGAATACTTGGAAAAATATCTAGTTCCCTAATATGCAAAATAAGTGCTAAATATAGTGAGATACAAAGTTTTCACGTAGCAATTTCAACCTGATAAAGCACTAGCAAGCTACAGTATAAACGTTTTCAGTAATAATGCCGTCTCACTTTACAAAAGATTTAAAACGTAACTAACAGTAAGTTACATTGGGCAAATTTTGAGTGAAACAGAGGTGGAGTCGAATGGTGTTCAGACACAAAAGCAAAGACAAAGAAAATACCGCTAAAGTTATTTTACTTTATGTATTTATGGAAGGGAATTTCATGGAGGTAGGAAAGGGAGGAGGGGCCAACCCGCGCTAAAAAGGAAGCACTGCTTTGAAGCTTGGGTCACTAGATGCGGTGTTCTTTGTTTACATTCAGAATTTGAAGAAAAACTGACCTTTGAGTGGGTATTAAAAATAATACTTATAATTTTCATTCAAATTATATCATATATATATATTTGTAAACTTCGGGTGTATGCTAAATTAGTGTAAAAATATTTACACAAAGAATATAGTGAATGCACAGAACTTAAAGATTTGCCATGCCGGATGAAAAATAGGAAATATGTATGGTTATTTATCATTGCTTGCAAAAAGCATGTATCTGCCTTGACCAATACTTTATATTCTTAAATTATTTAAATGTATTGAAATGAAGAATTTATATTCACTTATAAACAACTGGAAGTCTGTGAGAAATAATTATTAATGATCTAATTATAATGATTATAAATGTTATCAATAATAATAACCTTAATATTGATTGTAAACATAATTGAATCCTTTGACAATAAGTTGTCAACTATTTAAGCAAGAATTGTTCGTATTGGAACAATCTGTAAAAGGTATCCTAAAGCAATGCTATGAAATGCGCACTTAAATAGTATAAAGAGTTTTGGAATATGTATTGTGAAAAGAAAGTAAAAAAAAAAATCGATAAGTATAATTAAAACAATTATTCCCCGTACTTATAAATAACTCAGTACAAGTTTTAAATAATACTTAAAAAAAAAAAAAAAAAAAAAAAAACTTATTTATTCCTTCAGAAATGTTCCAGAAAGTCAGTCGATTTAATACCTATTTAATTGATAGGAATGAGCTAATTCGCTAATTCCTAATAATTCTCTAATTTATTAAAATGAACCGAATAGAGCATTAATTATAAATGATTACATTTTGAGTTAAGAAGTGCCTCAGAGCCAAAAAAATCATGTTATATTATAATAAAAGCGTATTTTAGGGAACATCATGCTAAGAAAAGAAATATGCATTGAATTTAATAATACCATAAACTTTGATCTTACTTTTGTACCTAACCTAATAATGAATACCTAATTTTTTCTAATTATTAACGAAACTTGTACACTATTCATTCAAATTAACCATTCTGAGACTTCTGTGAAAAGTACAGCATTATTCCGTTCAGAATGAAATGTTGTTTAAAATATGTTGTTTCACTATTAGGACCTGAGTTGTAGAAAAGAAAATATATTTACGATTATTATTAATAATTATTAATTTTTATATGTATATTACGACGTAATTACAAAAGATTTACATTCGAACGCGTCAAAATCCCATAGAATCAATGGAAATGACCCAATTTTTGGTCCCACGTAGGATCGCCGCTGCTTCAGACCGAGTACGGGAGAAACTTTTTAGGGCGACTCCATCTTACTTCCTACCTCAGGGGAAATTTCGAACCAAACACAATGGTTCCTAATTTTTTCATTTATGTCGTCACCTCCTCTATACAATTACAGTAAATTAAATTTGTGGGGGGCGTTTTAGATCGGTATATAAAGTCAGGTCTAATGTACAAGATTATTACAGGTTTAAGTTCCACAAGGACTACCTTACTTAAGAAATTAAGGCAAGAGTCTGATACAACCTATCAAGTGGGACACTTGGCTCTTACTAAGTCCTTCTCTGGCTACTCACCAGAGGGCAGCCTTGTTGTCACAGTTAGTTCAACAGTTTATGTTAAAAGATTGGTTACAAATTCATTTTAATCTTATATTATCTGTTTAATATTGTGTTTATCTTTTTGGTTTCGCATTTAAAGATTTTCATTGGTTTTACAAAATACTGTTGTAAAGTTTAAATAAGAGATCGTCTGCGGTCCAGGAACGGATTATTATATTGTTTTTTATATTAATTCCCCGAGAAAAATTGTTTGAGTTCACGAGCATTTCGGTTCACGCGTGGCCTGAAGGCCGAATGAATTAAATGCGTGAACTGCAGTTTCACTATTACCCACTCTTATAACAGGTCGAGCTGTAACGTCGCTAAACACTGCAGTTTGGTCCGAGGTTCGAAATCCGCGAACGGGCTGGCTGCATGGGCACTTTCGTCGTTTTCTCTATATTTAACGTGTATATGAGCCCGTTTCCTTTATAAAGTCTTCCACGAAGGCATCCCTACCCTTAGGCAGATAGCCCTAGTGTGCTTTGCAGCAATGTGAAGAAACCAAAACCATATACAATAAAGTACAACTCATACAAAATCCTCTAAAATACAAAATCAGGTAATAATTAAAGCTGCTTATTATATTTATGTCAAATATTTGCATGATTTTGCAACAGTTTTAAGTGTACATTTTGCTTAAATAAATAAAATTATGCAATAGGTATTCCAAGAATATTAAAATAGAATGAACAGAGTCTGCAGTCACTATGCCATAAGACTTATTCATTGGCTAAAAAATAATCGATACTGAACACAAGGAGAGGCAAGAATTTTCTTTGTCACGCAATTGCGAATTTCTATATCTGAAGGAAAACATGTTCCTACATATTCCTGAAGACGTATTTTCTACGCAGGTTAGTTTGATTTTTGTGGCTTTTTAAATTTAATTCTAAACTTTGAGAGTGTATTTTTTAGCACATTCTTATGCTGCAACAAGTTTTAGTTTATATGAAAAGACTGTTAACAGCTAAACAGATAATCATCTTTTACCGTAATAAAATCTTACATAGCTTGATCTGTTTCGAAAACAATTTTCCCACCCCCAAATAAATCTGGTTAGAATATTTTGTCTTATCAGCAGAAAATTATGAACTTTTTTAAGGTAATTAATTATGCTTCCGACTTTTCTTATATTATGCAGTCGTATACAAAATCCCTTATCTATACCGAATGAGTATCTTACGTTGTCTTTCTTTAAGTGCTGTTATTTATATTCAAAAATAAGCTATAGAAGGCCCCCCTAAGTTTTCTTTTATTACAATTTGCACCTTTCATAAATAATATTTTATTGATTTTATAAATAAAGGTATAAGGTAAGTTTTGTAAGTAGAGGTGTTTTATAAGCAAACTTCTATAAGTAAAGATAATCTAAAATTATACCTCTTCAAATGAACCAAGAACAAAGTTTTCAGAACGCGATTTTATAAAAAAAAGACTGTCGTTTCTTCATCATATCCAGATTTTTTTAGATTATCTGATAGAATAGAAAATAAATATAAGTGCTTTATTTCGGTTTTAGAATTCAATTTAAAGGAAATCTGAAAGGTATCAGATTTTAACGGTCGCTCAAAAGGGTTTGTTAACGTTTTTTACACATACTAAGCCTCAGTCTACTAACCTGTTTACACTCACGTCACGAACCCCCCCCCTTATTTTTTTTTTTTAGCTTTATATAGTTTATTTCTTAGCACTTACGCCAATACAATTCAAAAGCAAAATTGCAAAAATTTTAAAAACAGCATAGCAGTATAGGTTTAGAATTTCCGTTGCAGCGTTAAGTGTTGACATGCATTTTCCTGTCTTTTCTCAGTTCATTATATTAATGTTCAGTTTTCTTACTAAGATGGCTTAAAAAAACTCTTTTTTTTCCCCGTCTTTTTATTAATTACGTTTTGCGTGTTTACTTTGGTAATCAAATATCACATTCTCGGCGATTACACCACGTAAAATTCGATTCAATAGCTAAATGAAAAATATTAAAAAAAACAGCATATCTTTAGAATTTCGAATAGGCAGTCTTTCGCACTGGAGATAATTTTTTTTTTTTTTTTTTTTTTCGTACAGGGTTGTCGCTGCTAGATTTGAAATCCTCGAGCCTGTTGAAGAAAAATGCGATAAAGTTTTACAAAATATGAAATAGATAATAAAACATATTCGAAATTCAAAATTTGGGCTTCCAGCTAATGTTCAGGTGGAGGACTACGTTATTCAGAATTTTATGGCTTTAGGTACCGTTGTTTTTACACAATGCGAAAAACACACATACATTCATGCAGATTCTTCATTATTTAATTTCTTTAAATGTGATATAGGGCGATAGTATTTTGTGGCAACAATTTGAAAACGGATACAACGCATTTAAGTGTTTTGACCATGGATGTTAGAATAGCTGCAGCAAGAAAGACGGCACAAAAATGAAGCCAAGGAAATGTCAACAACATGACGTCTGGACTTATCCTAGCCATCATGTAGCGTACGGATAAGACTACGAAACATATTGTTAAATAAAATTACACTGATTTTAAGAGCAAATATCAACGTGGGCAGAAAGATGTCTTTAGGCATAATTTGCATAAAATACCTTTAATACTTTTACTGGTCTTCTAGATTTTACCATAAACACATTTCTGTTACAGTTACCATTTAGACATTGTCATGTACCTAGATTCTATTAAATTTGAAACAATTATTTGCAGTCCCTGTGATTGTTCTGTATACTAAATAAAAAATCATTAACTAACTAAACTTTAACTAATTAAAGTGAGAATGGAAGGTTTATAAACATTCAATGATGAGTAGATAACTCCGTTTAGAATGTAAACAAAACCAATCAGAATTCCGCCAGTGGCAGCGATTATATTAAGTCATGGGTTTATTTTCTATGCACGGGACATACGGGAGATACTTACTCCATTTATTTGAACCTTCCTGAGTTTGATGCAAAATGCCATTTCGAGGTTAATGTCTCATTTGAGACTAACCTCCTTTTTAGGCTAATAAGAGGAAAGACATAAACTGACTACGGAAAACGAATTAAAAGTTGCATGAAATTCTAAACATTTTAAAAAAGTTCTAAGCAAATTTTTTTATCCCATAGATTAATGGAAATGTGGAAGAAGCTCTGAAAGTCTTGAAAGTAACTACTGAAAAGCTTGAAAGGAAGTCCCGTCGTTTCAGCAGAGATCTTTCTTTGGACCCTGAAAACCCTATAACTCAGGTAGGAATGGCCAGGAGGTTGCAACAAAGTACCCAAAGTGAACTTTTAGTTAATCAAATAATATATTTTTGGACAGTGAACATGTAAAATATCCTAAGTTTATTTTTTGTTACACGTTTAAAGATTTTGGAAACTATTGGGTCGGTGCATAAGTCTTCATTGGATTGACAACCCTGCATTGTGAAGCCTTATTTTTTCGTTATTCAATTGCTTCTCTTCAGTTTGAAGTCAGATTGTTGCGAATAGAAGTTCGTATGCTGTTAAGAGCTTGTTTTGGCCATTTTCAAGGCAAATCAGTATGAAGGCCAAACAGAGAAAAATGAACACTTCCAACGCATTTATTGCTCCATCTGATTACCATCTTTTCGGTCTCTCTCTAACAACATTCAGGGACAAGGATGAAGCTTTCCCTAACTGGCTAACAAATTTCTTCAATTCGAAACGGCAACAGTTCTACATAAGCAGCACTGAACTCCTTCCTGAACGCTGGCAGGCGAACAAGATGGTGATTGCATCGCTGAGTGATTATTGATTTCTGACGGAGTATACCATTGTTTTGCTCTTGTATATTGTATTGTTACAGAGATCGAATCACAACAAGCCAAAAACAGCACCCCAGTGAAGAACGGCATTAACTTATGCGCTGACCCAATGCATGTAAATAGAAATCGTTTGTTGTTTTCAAATGATTATGAGTATCGAGTATCGTCATTTTACTGCTGGCATCAACTACTACAAGAGTTATAACCAGTATATTGAAATTCGTAAATAGTAACATTTGCTTTTTACACTATATGGTGTTTTAACTAAAACATCACCGCACAGAAGCGAGAATACACATGAATGTACATGAAATTTCAATTAAAAGATGTTAAAGTTCCAGCCGAAGCAATTGAAATCATAGAAGCAGAGCTAAGGAAGGAGGTAGAGCATCGCAAGGCACGTGATCTGAGGAGAAACGCTGGTTGGCTGGTCTTGAGTTTACCGCGAAGTAACGAAAAAAGCTTCTATTACACAAAATAATTGTCCAGTCCATCAAAATTTAGTATTTTCCATTCAATAATAGTAAATGATTACGAATTTTTATTTTCGAGATGGATATACCCAGGGGCTGATGAGATTTTTGTAACCAGCGAGGGCAATTTTAAAAAAGTGCCGGAACCTTTTTGCGCCTTCTCCAATACGCCGTATTTCCGTGATATAAAGCCAAAAACGTGCGGGTACCATCATGAATTTCAATATCAAGAATAATAATTATTATTAATTTTCCGCCTGCTTCATCTCTCAGTAGGCACTACAGGCATGTTATCCTGGTCGTTGCACCAGCAATCATGTTTGGTTGTTTATCATTTCATCTCTGTTTTATTTTAATCATTAAGGCATAACATAGCAACATTTGTTGGCTTATCCAACTTACAATATTTTTTGGTGGTTAGTAGTAAAATTAACAAAAAAAGAAAAATATTTGCATACGTGGCAAAATGTAGGCTTACTGTCTTTACATTCAACAGGTGCTAGATCTGGTTATTTGCTATTATTAATTTTTTTGTTGTGTAAATATATTCAATGATGGCTATGACTCCTCGCTGCCCGTAGTAGTTGTTAAGTAAATTTTAGAAGTTGGAGACGCCCTGAAGCTGAGAGTGGGAAGCTCTGACGGTGGAGGTGAGGTTTGACATCAACCCTCATTAAGGCTGTTCGGATGTCTATGCTAAGATCTTAATCATCAACTTTCACAAACGTGTCGGTATCCTAAGTTGGGAAACGCTCGTCAAGACTAAAAGGTACTCTGATATAAAGGCATAAATGTGCCTGCACCCTTATGAAGTTCGGGGTAGTGAAGAAAGCAACTTTCAACAAGGCTGTTGGAACATCCATGTGAAAATCTTAATCTTGGTGAACAATTGCCTACTTGTGTAAAAGCGCCGGCACCTTTATAATATTTTAAGAAATTGCCCAGGATATGAAAATGCCTTGCTGTTATTCTATGGAGTAGCGAATTAAATCCAATAATTATGAATTTGCGACGAGCTAATGAGGTCATTGCTGACAACATTGAGTTTAATGCAGTTAATTTATCTTTCGACTTTTTTAGTCTGTCTTACTCCATATAAGTTAATCGTTTTTTGCTGCATAAATTCTAAAGTTATGATTAATCTTTCATCATTTTTAAGCCATTCATATCAAGTAACACACCCAGCATTACAGGCACCAAGCAACAAAGCACCTCAAAAATTTCCCGATATCCGCATTCTGTCCCGGATATACCTCCCGTGTTTGATGGCAGCAGCAAAACAGAATTTCCTTTCTTGTCTCTGCATGTGTGCAAAACTAATGATACAATGAGCATTAGTCGTCTAGACACAGTTTTCAATCATTATAATTAAAAACCTTGGAAATAAAAAGCCTAACAACACATTTAAAAGGCAGGAGAAATGCTATCACCATCTTTCATTACGATACACAATTTTGGCATGTTTATGTTTTTATATAAATATTGGATCCTTGTGGCAATTCCATCATCCATGAGTAATATCTTAGCACACCAAGTAGCAAGTTTTGTTTTTCTTCTTTTTGAAGTTTTAATATTGACTTGTATAATTCATTTTAGACAAAAGAACCTATATGAAATTCAATGTAATGCTGCAGCGAATTATTTCTGAAGAGAAATTTTATTATGAAACAACCCAAATTATTTGGACCTTTTTTTAATGAAGTTTTTCTTTTTATTCATACTACAGGTATCCAAGACTCCAAGTGACGAAGAATTTCCTTGGCAATGGGATGACATTTTCCCGGATGATGATAACGTTACGGCCACGAGTACAACTGGGTACATAGTAAACATTTCAAACCATATTTAAAAATTATACCATATTTAAAAATTTAAAGTTATAATACAGTATATCACTGCTGAAAATAAGAGCTGATGGTTTTCTACTGACAGAAAATAGTCTTCGCTCCGCCGATGGGAAAACTGGTTATCAGGCCAGGCTCCAAAATCTTTAGTGCCCTAGGCATTTAATCTAGCCAGCGTCTCTTACAAATTAACTAATTTTATATTTTAAACCGTAATATATTTATACTTAGTTAATTAAAAATACAACATTTTTAATATTTGCAAACTATTATTAGTAGAATTTATTATGAACCTAAATGCTGTTCATTAGACATATGTCGATCATGTCTTCGTACTGTAATTGAGCAATATCATTTTCTGTAGACTGAAATGCAAGGGGATTCAGTACTTGACTCAAAAATAACATCGAATAAACTTTCAGTTTAAAATCAGACGAATTGTCAGCTGCAGCTAATGAAACAGAAATCGTCAAAACGTTTAGTATGGCAGCTCCTGAAAGAGTATCATTATAGCAAATAACATCTTTTCGTGTGTGTCATTTCCGAACGTTAGGCTTTATAAGCTACACAATTCTCCGGCCATCTTGGTATTGTTCTGCTATCGGAGTCGTTGCTAAATGATTTACTAGACTGGCCAAGAAAATGATTCATATGAAGTCGCCAATGTTTACTCTTAAAGTCGTTACAATATTTATTTTTTTCCCCTCCAAAAAGTAAAAATTGGAAGTGAGGACACAAATTCTAAAGATGTAATGAAGAATAAGATTTATTTCTAAAGATCTGTTTTTATTGTCTTTATCATGGATATGGAAATTTGAGACTTACCTAATGATGAATCGATCTGCTATACAATTTCTTCAGGAACGAGGAATAATCACTCTGAAATTATTCACTAGAAAGTGCGCGCAAAACGATAAAAATGAAGCTCTACTTCAATTCCATGGAAGCACCGAAAAGAAGATGTGAAGATTATGACGTTCCGAGAAAAAAAAAGGATTACGTTCTCAAAATTGGTTTGAAAGATCAAGAAAGTTTATTAAATGCGATTCGTTTCATTTATGCGTGGTATTTAGAACTAACTTCCACTAAATTTTGTCAGTATCAACTTGATATGAATCATTGCATTGCTGTTGACTGGAAGTTGTATAAGAGAATTCTGTGGCCATGCAGTAACTGTTAAATGGCAGCAGGCCACGAGATGCGGGTTCCTAGGCCGAAGACTCATGCATTCATGTCTAGACGTCAGTTAAAATAGGCAGGACTGGTAATATTATAAGTTGACGAAAGTCTGTTTTCGCGTCGAAAAAACAGTGTTTTGTATCTTTCTGCCCCACTGGGGGTGCGGCAGACTTTGCCGAGAAACAAAAGAATGTTTTTTAGTTGCTGTGCCTAACTGCTCTGCCAGAATTTTGCTTAAAGTTATTAAAGAAAACATTATTGATGACCCTGTTAATAGACTCAGACTGTTGGAAAGAAAATAACACTGAAAGAATAAAAAGCCAGATTTAAACATTTCTGCGTTAACGATAAATATAATTCTATCATCCCGATACTGGTTGTCATACGCAAACTATTGAAAGGTTATGAGCCAGGGCGAAATGGCGAAATAAACGTCAACACGATACTGACCGTAACGCATTAGATTCTTATTTATGCTGCCGCCTAAAACGCAGATGTTTTCAGACATTTTAAATAATATCCACAGTTTCATGCCTCAGCGTTAATCTCAATTCGATAGCCGAATTTTTTAGTCCAAAGGGGTTTTTTTGTCCCTGAAGAACTATTGTTTTCGTTTTGCGATTTTGCGTCGAATAACTCTGAATGTTCGTTTTCACTTTTCAAACTGTTGCCACCAAATATTACCTCCCTGTGTTACATTTGAAAAAATTAAATAATGAAGAATCTGCATAAATGTATGTATATTTTTCGCCTTTTGATAAAATAACGGTACCTAGAGCCATCCAATTTTGAATGACGTAATCCTACTGCAAATATGGGCATCGAGAAGCCCAAATTTGAAATTTGGAATCTGTTTTATTATCGATTTTATATTTTGTGAAACTTTAACGAATTTTTTGGTTAACAAACTCAAGGATTTCAAAGCGAGAAATGGCAACGTTGTACAGCAAAAAACATTTTTATCTCCAGCTCGTGAGACTGTGTATCGGAAATTCTAAAGATAGCTTAATTTAAAATTATTTTGCAATATTGCTCTTTGCAATATTGAATTTTATGGTTCAAGTGTGAAGAAGATGATATTTAATAAATAAAGGTAAAGCACAAAATGTTTTAAAAACGCCCCTTTGGACGTAATTTAAAATCTGAAACCTTCAGATTTTTGGGGGGGAGGGTTTCTTTGGCAAGGTGCTTAATTTACATTAATTTCTAATTTTAATAATATATATTGTCTTATTTTTTCCTTTGGATTTTCTTTATCTTAACTGTATCGTAAATATTTTGGCGATTATTTGTATGCTTCGAATTTTTCGCCAGATCGTCAGCTTTAGGCGATATCTGACTCCGGTTCCGATAACAGAACAGTACCGTGATGTCTTCACCTTTAATAATTACACTGATGATTATTTACTACATCTCCAACTATCACCTCCATTAACGCTCACTGCAAGTCTTTGCAGTTTTCTGCTAATCAACTTTTATTCAAATTTTCAGAATCGTAAAGAAATTACCAGTGTACGCTCACCATATTGAGCAGTTCAGATCAGTGAAGAAAATGCTTAATCTGTAAGTGAACTTAAGAAATATTTTTAATAAACCATTTTTCCAGATCTATTGAGGAGTTATTGAAATGTTTACAATAGGTCACCCATCCTTTCATCAAATTCTAATAGTTTCCAATACAGTTTCAGTGTACTAAATTTTGGCCAAAGCTGGAACTTGAATCCAGACACGTAGCTAGGGCTGTCAGCGCCCTTCGAGAAAGTAAGATTTTCTGCTCTCTCTTGTTTGCGCAATAGGGAAAGAAAGAAATTTTATGGATGCTGCCCCCCCCCTGAGGCACATGTCTGCCCTTATCCCTTAGCTATGCAATTGTCTGAACCAACGAGTGTTTGAATTCTCTATCACTATAAGTCAAGAACTTTCCGACATCTTTTGAAAATCAGACTAAGATTTCACATGAGGATGCTCAAATTTAAACACACACTGCAGTGTTTTATCTTTGTCTCGCCAGCGAGACGTCATCGCTCTCAAGAACTGTTGCGAACTCTGGAATTCTAGATGGCGCTGTAGTACGCCTAACCTGTTTCTCCTTACTTACCTTAATCATTTAGCCTGACATATAAGCACACAGTGATAAAAGCAAAACTCCAACCCACTCATTCTATCTCTTCCATTCAACAACAATCGCTAGTATAAGCCCAATTCATAATTCTATCTCTCTAATATTACAAGCACCGTATTTAGAACAAATGCATAACTGAAATGTATTTGAGGGCTGAGTAAAAGTTCTTCGGAGGCCATACACTGCTCTTAGGCTTCCAGTTTGAGACTACTGACCTAGAATATTGGGAAACTCTTTATATGAGAATTATTTTAGCTTAAAATCAGGTTTTAATTCTAAGAATGGTTCTGTTACAAAAGACAAGATAGAATTTCCGCTATTTCCAAGCAAAGCAGATCTTTCCCATTTAATGAAAACTTTACATATTAAGTAAGGCATTAATTAATACACAGGAAAATCATTTGCATCCTGGGAATCCTTCAGATTTTTTAGTTTCATAGTATATGTATTTCAGAGAGGAAAAGAAGCAGGATGCTTCTAGCAGTTCCATTTTCATTTTTCAAAATCATTTCTAACTACCAAATAACTGAACAGTTTTACAATCAAAAATATGAGAACAGATTCCTAGCTCGAATATCCTATTTACACTCATATCCATAAATTAAGGATAATTCGGAGTCACGCGGAAATCGAACTCTAAAATAAATATATCACTGTAAAATCACTACACACATCTTCAAGAATCATATGAAAATTTCAGGAAGTAACCAGATGACACCGATGGTACGTCACAATGACGAGAGTGTAAGAGAGTGATATATAGGGAATACAGGCAAAGAAGTAAAATTGTTCGCAGGCGCTTTATAAGCATTTCAGTGCAATAACCGAATAGTTATGACACAAAAGACGCATTTGGATGATTTTTTACGGGGTAGAATGATCGGCCGTCTGGAATGTGGGCGTACCCAACTGGAAGTATCAGACAAACTTGGAATTGCCCAGAGTGTCATTTCCAGGCTTTGGCAACGATTCCAAGATGATGGTAATGTGAGTAGACGTTACAGCACAGGTCGCCCCAGAGTTACAACGCCGAATGAGGACCGGTATTTGGCAGTTACTGCCAAAAGAAACAGGCGGAGCATAACCTCAGACCTGTCTCATCATCTCTTTTCAGCCACTGGTACGACAATTTCAAGGCAGACCGTGTACAGACGCTTAGGGCAGATTGGTCTATATGCTCGTAGACCTGTCAGATGCGTTCCACTTACTGCAACTCACTGTCGCCTGCGGTTAGCCTGGAGCAGAGAGCATGCATTGTGGACACCGCAACAGTGGGCTTGTGTGATGTTTTCCGACGAATCCAGGTTTAGCTCGCAGTCTGATTCTCGCCGGACTTTCATATGGAGAGCTCTAGGTACCAGTTACTACCAAGGAAACATCATTGAACGACACCGTTACGGTGGTGCAGGAGTGCTCGTTTAGGGTGGAATTATTCTGGGTTCCAGAACTGACCTGCATGTTCAAATTGGAACCATGACAAGCCAAATCTATCGGGACGTCAATCTGTAACAACATGCACGTTTCTTTCGGGGCGCCATGGGCGCACAATTTGTGTTTATGGATGACAACGCCCGTCCTCACCGTGCAAACATCGTAAGCAAATGCCTTCAATCGGTTGATATCACCCGTATGGACTGGCCAGCATTCTCACCGGACTTGAATCGAGTAGAGCA